ATTGACGGCGGCGAGGCTGGGCCGGTCCTGAGTGGCGCCACAAGTCCACGTACCCCAGCCCGGCCCCTGGCTCGGCCCTGCCACCGCGCAGGCTGGGCTTGCTCCCCACCCCTGGCCTCCCCTTCTGTGCCCCAGTCTCTGCCTGTTCCCGAAGTCTAGCCCGGCCCCTGAGTGCCGACTGTCCAGCACCTACCCCGCGCCCAGGGAGTTCACCAGCATCTTCGTGCCACACCTGCCGCGGTAATGCCCTGGGGGAGAGACTCCCCAATTCTCTTGCAAAAGCCCTCGTCCCAACCTCGCAAGCGAAAGGAAAATCGCCACCCTCCTGCGAGCACTTGGCCTACACCTGGAGCCGGGTGGACGCTGGTATCCATGGCTCCTCTTTGCGGATACCGATGTGGATGCAGGTACCTGCGCCGGGCTCCACCTGCAAGCCCCGTGCACGGTCCAGCTGCGAAAGCCACAGGGTGTTTATAGAATAGCAGTGGTGGGAACTGCTATGGAGAGACGTCTCATGCAGACACAGCCAAAGTTATTACATGCCTCTGCTAATTAATATTGAATACGCACGGTGCCAGCTCCAAAGCCGACAAGCTAGCTCCTAAAGATCACGCCATGTGGAATGATAAATGTCATTTGGAATCCATATGAATTCTGAACTGGCGCCTTGTTCTATTAATCAAGGATTGAAGAGCTAAAAAACAATTTACCCTGACAGCCTCCACAATTGTTTGGAGACTTCATTTCCTTTGCAGTTCTCATTAAAGCCAATATTCCTCCGATATTCTGGATTCACACGTGAAGGAAAACAAAGACTCTTCCGCGGCCACATGGCTTTTAGGAACCACAATGCAAAACGCAATTAAAATGTCATGCTAAGCCAGGAGAGCCCGTCAGTGCATTTTATCATTACTTCCTGCAACTGCCAGGCCCAGTTTTTATCTGGGCAAGGAAAATATTTCAGGCAAACCACGGCTTTGAGTGGTGCTCACGGGGTGCACTGAATTGGCAGGCTTTGAAACGTGAGCAGGTTGATTAGGGGCTTGTCATCCTCAGAACAGGTTTTGGTGACTTTACTAGCGGTGCAGCGCAACCTAAACGGTCACCGTAGCGATGCTGAACACCAAGAAGCTGATTTTCTAAAATCTGGACGCGTCCATTAACATGCTGCCCAGGCAGGGTGCCTGGGAGACAAACGGTCTGGGCTAATGCGTCTTTCATGTTTTATTATCCCCCGCCTGTCTGCCTGACACTAGCAGTCAATGTCAGGGAAACAGATGACTCCTCTGCCCCCGCGACGCCAGACACACCACGGCGAAGCTCGTCAGCTCTCGGAGTGGCCGGAGTCAGCGTGGAAGCGATGGAGCGAGCCCAAGAGTGCAGCACACCGTTCGCTCCAGTGGAAGGGGTGAAGAGCCGCCTGCCCCCAACACTTACACCCCAACAGGTGGAAACTGTCAGCGGCTGGGGAAGGGGAGTTTCTCTCAAAGGTTTCCTCACCCAGCTGAGAATGACACTCCCAAGGGGAGACAACACGAGCGAGCCCCGCGATGAGGAACGGGCTCAGTCCTGTCAACGGGCCAGTGACAGGGCGAGGGAGGCAACCCCGTGTACCAGCCCCACCCCCGCCGGTCAGAGCCGCAAGCGTGTGAGCGCCAGCGCCTGCCTCTCCCCCCAGCAGGAGACCGCCCCA